TAATATCTTGCCAACTTTAGCAAACTGTAAACGTTCTACGGACACTTGCACCCACTCACTCCACTCTCATACTAAACAGGGAGGACAGGGACGTCTGACTTTTAGCGGAGACTAAATTATCTTCGGTATTTGCGAGTCCAAAATAAATCAAACTTCTAGGGAGATAAAATACATTCCGGGTGGTATGTATTCTGTAGTTATCGTGATTAGTAACAATTGAAATGTCCTGAAGAGAGTTATCTCTTTATTGAACCAGTGTTGCTAATTTCTCAATGAGGAAAGACGCTGCAGAATCAGCGGCGGGTGCATGCGCGCGTTGATTTGAGTCTGGACGTGGCGTATGTCTCCTCTGACTGCAGCTGGACTGCTGCGAGCCGCCAGGTTGCTGCTTCAGTGACGTCACGTCACGTCAGACACCACAAAAGTGTCCAATAAAACCAGATAAGGTCGCTGATCGCTTTTGACAAGAAGTCGCCGAGAGGGTTTATAAAGTCAATGTACCAAACAATGAAGGAGTCTGCGCATATCTTACATCCTAATTTCGACTTTTTATCTCATAATTTCGACTTTTTAGGTCATAATTTCAACTTTTTAAGTTATATTTTCGACTTTCTAACCCTTCTTTTTTTTGTGGCGGAAATGGGCTTCCATAGTTATTGGGAGTTTGCCCCAGTTTGTGCTTGTAAACGGTGAATCCTTGAACACCACCAATGTTGGTCACGGAGTCCCACAAGGTTCTGTGTTTGGACCGATTTTATTTACACTGTATGTGCTTCTTTTGGGCAACGTTATCAGAAAACACTGCATGAACTTCCATTGTTATACAAACTGCATCGGTCGATCAAGCCAGAAGAGACGGACCAGTTAGTTAGACTTCAAGGATGTCTTGGAGACATCAAAACTTGGATGACCAGCAACTTTCTGATGCTAAACTCAGAAAAAAATGAAGTTATCCTAATAGGCCCAGAGCGCCTTCGAAGCCAGCTGTCACGTGATACTTTTTATGGATGGAATTGCTCTGGTACCCAGCAGCACCGTCAGGAATCTGGAAGTTCTCTTCGACCAGGATATCGCATATAAAGAAGACTTCAAGGACTGCCTATTTTCATCTATGTAACATATCATAAATCAAGAACTTCCTGTCTCAAAGTGATGCAGAAAAATTAGTTCATGCGTTTGTCACTTCTAGACTGGACTACTGTAATTCTTTGTTATCGGGCTGCTCTTGTAAATCTCTTAAGCCTCTCCAGCTGATTCAGAATGCTGCAGCACGTGTATTAACAAGAACTAAGAAAAGGGATCATATCACTCCTGTATTAACTTCTCTGCACTGGCTCCCTGTTAAATCAAGAATAGAATTTAAAGGGTCGGGTTTTAAAAAGTAGACTGGGGGCCAGAGCCTTCAGTTATCAAGCTCCTCTTTTGTGGAACCAGCTTCCACTTTCAGTCCGGGGGGCAGATTCGGTCAGCTCTTCACATAAACTCTTTTAAAGTAAAACTTAAAACTTTCCTCTTTGATTTTGCTTATAGTTAGGGCTGGCTCAGGTTAGCCCGGACCAGCCCTTAGTTAAGCTGCTATAGGCTTAGACTGCCGGGGGACTTCTTAGGACACACCGAGCTCCTCTCTCACGCTCTCGTTCTACCATAATCCACGTTTTATTAATGCACATGACTAATTCAGCTTCTTTCCGGGAGTTTTTTGTGTTTTCTCGCCTCACAGGCAGATGTACACAGATCGTAGTTCCTTCTGGATCCTGGTCCTGACACCTGCCGTGGCCATCATCATCATTATTATTATTATGAAATATTATATTACTGTAATCATAAACCAACATTACCCTCTCCTAAAGTCTTTGTGCTCTCCCTCCCCACAGGCTTCTGTGGATGGTGGTTCTATGTGATGGTGGTTCTATGTGATGGCGGTTCTGTTGGTGGCGGTTCTATGTGATGGTGGTTCTATCTGATGGTGGTTCCATCTGATGGCGGTTCCAGTTGGTGGCGGTTCTATGTGATGGTGGTTCTATGTGATGGTGGTTCTATGTGATGGTGGTTCTATCTGATGGTGGTTCCATCTGATGGGGGTTCTGTTGGTGGCAGTTCTATGTGATGGTGGTTCTATGTGATGGTGGTTCTATCTGATGGTGGTTCTATGTGATGGTGGCTCTATCTGATGGTGGTTGCCCCTGCAGTGGTCCTGCTGTGCGCCTGTCTTACTACTCACAATGGCAATGACTACTCTACTTGAATCATTTCTGTCATATGAATTGCATGTATTATACATTGTTCATTCTGTACACATGGCATCCATTGTAGTCTGTCCATCCCGGGAGTGGGATCCCTCCTCTGACCTTCTCCCTAAGGTTTCTTCCCTTTTTTCCCCATGGAAGGGTTTTCTTTTTTGGGGGAGTTTTTCCTGGGTTTCAGGACAGAGGATGACGTATGTGTACCAACTGTAAAGCCCTCTGAGGCAAATTTGTAATTTGCGATTTTGGGCCATAGAAAATAATATGAATTGAAATGAATTACCATAAAAACTAATTTCTACACAACAGAAAGATCACAGAGGTTCCTCTGTATCCCCACTGAAAAACAATATCCAGATAGGCAAAGTAGTCACAGCTATTGAACTTGTTATCATGGGTAAGCCATTTTTGGAGCAGAGACGAAAAGAAAACACCTCAAGTGGAATAGGTTTAATATGAACACATATATATATATATATATATATATATATATATATATATATATACATATATATATATATATATATACATATATATACACATATATATACATATATATATACATATATATACATATATATATATATACACACATATATATATATATATATATATATATATATATTATCTTTCACTAATCATTGAATGTTTTCAATGTTTGTAATGAATTGAAAGGAAAGGACAAAACAAAGTTAAAAACTTGAACAAATAAAGACCAAATTAGTCTAAATATTGGGGAATGGAGTCAAGGATCAAAGAAAACCATGCAAATAAATCAAAGTTCACACATACAAGTATTATTAAAGAGGAAACTAGTGGAACAAAAATACTTTTTAAGCCATCTACACTTAAATAGCTTCAAATGCAGTATAGTGAGTTTGCCAGGGAAGGTAACTGGAAGAATTAAAAGGTTACAACAGCATCCAAAAAACAATTGCTGTCATCATTTGTTTGATTATTTATTTACTGTGAAACTGAAATTGGGATATTGTCATTAAAAGCCACAAGGAAACCCAAAATATATATGTGAAAAAACTATCACCCACCAAAACATCATGCCGCACATGAGAGGCCAAAATAAAATTGGGATTTTTGATGATAGTTGAATAGATGAGAATGATTTCTTGAACACAACAGGAACAGAACAGGAAAGAGAATTTACTCCTAAAATGATACAACAAACTACATATGAAAAAAAACATGCAGTCAACGTCAAAGTGATGTTAGGTTTAGAATGGTGTGAATTTCTGTGTAAACGATTGGATGATTGGGGCCCCGTCTTAGTCTTTCAACACAAATCCAAATAAATCTCAGGCTACATAGAAGACCCAAATGCACCACAACCTTTCACATACTCTTTTAAACAAATTAGGAATGAGCATCAAACGGGAGAAGGGGTCATCAGAAGAGCACTGAAACCCTTAAAGTTTTTGAATGTTACCTTGAGTACAAATTCATTCTAAACTCTGGTGTTTACGCTTCACTGCATTATTTTCTTTTCAAATGTCATATTGAAAAACTCCTCCAGCGTTTTCATTTTCAAAAAAGGTATTTGTCAGATAGGAGATTGGCGGTTTTCTTAATGATAATATTAATAATAATGTTTAGTATAGTGTCCAGGGAAGTCCTTCATTGTTTTGATTTCTCTATTTCCTACTTTTTTTTATCTGAAAAAACCCGAGGAGTGGAGTATGTGGAAGTACTGCAGCAGGAATGTCTTTACAGGACTGGGACAGCTTGTCTTTATCCCCAACATCAACTAAATATTAAAGCTGTCATGCCATGTAAACCCAACAGCAGCACAGCTGTCTGGTGGCTATTATGATTTGAATTATTGATGAGGTAAATCAAATAAGCAATGTAGTTGAAAGGTTCTGTTGTATTGTTTTAGGTGGACTATAACTAAAAATCATGTTATGAACATGCTCCAACTAAAAACCCTCAGAAAGAAAAGTTTGATTATTCAGTATGGAAGTGTCGACATGACTGTTAGCTGTATCCTACAAATTCTATGTCACTTAAATATGGAGATTCCCAAATTCTTTCAAGCTGATTTTCCAAGCTATCACAAGGCTTAGACATTTCATCATTTCTAATGTTTTGATACAAAAAAGACAGAATAACGAGTACACCTAAAAGCAAAAGTATGACCAAAAAAAGGAGAAAATCAATGATAAAACTAAAATATAAATCATCAATGGAGCCTATACAACAATTTGCTTTTTAGCTAAAAATGAAAATGAAGGACTGTTAATATGTACGGTTTTAAAATGAAATCAGACGAGCAGAGAATGATGGGAGCATTGGACTCATACGTGATGGCATACATTTTGCAGCATCAGTGCAGATAACATGACTCACCCTCATACAAATTGTGAAAATTTGTATTGTCGTGAACCTTATTATTCCTGAGCATCCAGAATTAGTATGCATATTGGTGACCATGTTAACAGCTTTAGAAGACCCCATGTGCAAGTGTAGCTCATGCTATGAATGCTTTCTGGGTTAGTGAATGACATTAAACAAACATTTTCTGTCACTAATTCATCAGTCAATTTTTCTTTGGAGTTTGAATTTCATAACTCGGATTCTTAACTTATATTAGGTAATGTGTAATGCGTATGTGTACTAGTACTAAATTGTCTGTTTTATGAAGTTACACTTTTTTAACCATGGGGGTGTGATGCTTTAAGGATACTGTGATGCTCTGTTGCAGATGAGTGAAAGCACATAAAAAGCAAGCAAATGCAAACTGACCTGTCCCACCTGCTTTGCTAGTTCCACACTCCTCCTGATCTTCATCATCACTCGCACACTCTGCAGATGACACCATTTCATCTGTATGCTTCTTGGGTAGAATGCGTTCATCAGAGATCAAGGCCCCAGCAGATATACCCAGAACAAAAGAAAGAAGAAAACAAGACATGAAAATACAAAAGAGAAGTCAGAAAGTGTTCAAGAAAATGAATTAGACCTTGTTTGACAAAAATATCTGAACTCATCTATGTCTTAGAGGGTTAGAAAATATACAGAGGTCCAAATCCTGTACATATTGTGCTAACTGAAACATCAAATCTCACAACTATCAATAGGTTTTGTCCTTTTTTTGAGGAAATAATAATATTTTGGCTGGACAACAGTCACTGTCTAACTGTCTTAAGATGGCTGTGTGACTTTATTATGCTTTTGCCTGATTCTGTCAGTGTATTATTGTTTCTATCCAAATTTCCAGTCTCATGTCTTGCTAGGAAATGACATGACGGGTGACTTGTGCCTGAAAGACACAAAACAAAAGTAACAGTTGGAGAGAGGAGTGCCAGTAAGAGTTTAAGTAAGACTTAATGTTATCTAAAATATGTTCAATGTCAGAATTGAATATTTAGCTGATTTTTCAAGAAAATAATTACTTACTGGAATACCATTAATCAATCAATCATGTTTGACCTCTTCTTTCAGATATTTCACTCATATAGTATATAAGGAGACATCATGGTGATGTCAGCACTAGTCTGTCCTAATGGGTAACTGAAGTCGAGGTATTTGTATGTCTGAGCTACACTGTACTTTTTATGCTCCTGTCAGTCACACAATCACAGTTCTCTGCAAAAGACTGAGAATAGAATCCAAATAATATGACCATGTATATAATGATATAACCAAAATTGCATTTCCACGCCTGTGTATATAAATGACCCAAACCCAAATTTCCATTTTTACTGAATTCAGCACTTTCGGAAGGAAGACCCCATATTAAATAAGAGGATGTGTTTCCTAATTGAGGTACTATATAGTCCACGGGGCAGAATGAGAATCGGCCATGATACTGTCATGCTATTGACCATTTACAAAACAAAATAAATCTGTTAGGCTGCATGCATGGTTTATACAGCCACTGATTAGTAGATTCGTTCAAGTCTCCAATTCCAATTCAAGCAGGAGAGTTTAAAATGGCCACTGCCCTATTTGATTGCATGTTAGATCAGATCAGAAATATTTATTAATACCCAATAGAGAAACTCATTTGCAACAAAAAACGACATAAACACCCAACAGAAGCCCCACAGTGCACAGAGAAAGAAGCACATAATGAGTGAATAACACCCTTAAAGGCCAAAGAGGTACATGAATAGAAAGTTGCTCAAACTAAAACCAACATCCATAGCTGTTCATTTAAATGTTGGTTTGCTGCGGATCAAAGTGCCTTCTGAGTGGTTCATTAGAGCAGTGTTTTTCAACCAGTGTGCCGCGAGAGGCTGTCAGGTGTGCCGTGAAAAAAAATCATTTTTTACATACTGTCACTTCATTGGTGAAAAAAAAAGAGCTAACTTGTGTGTTTGTGTGTGTGTCGTCGCGCTGTTGGTGGTATGAAGGCTCAATACTCCCCTCTTCCTTTGGGTGGCGGTAATAATGGTGGTATCGGGCTATGAAAGCGGAAATGTGAGACTCCGTAAAAGGACGTAGTTAGCGGACCAATCGCAGCCTGGTGCGCTGCGGGAGGCTTGCGTTGCTGACGCAAGCCTAGAAAAATGTCTCGACACACGCAAGGAGGTGTGAGAAGCGACGCAAGGGACACGCCAGGGGGTCTTGTGTCTGCGTCACTCTGAAAACGCAGAAGCATAAACTAGGCTTAAGAGATACTGGGCATAAAGCCTGCGCCATCTTGGCATTAGGATCATGTTAAGTTTAATAAAACACAACAAATAGAACACGCGTTTCCCTGATTTCTTAGAGTATATTATGCTCATGCTGAAACTATGTTTGGGATTGATTTTCATATCATTTCCGATTGTTGGTGTGCCGTGAGATTTTTTCTGTGTCTCAAGTGTGCCTTGACGCAAAAAAGGTTGAAAAATACTGCATTAGAACACTGAGGCTTCCTGCAGCATTCACAGAATGACCTTCTGAGTCCATTAAAAACAGCGCAGTGGATGTTTCTTAACTTGTCTCTTGTTCTATTTTTTTTCGTGACCTCATGTTAGTCTGGGGTAATGAGGTCAATCACTTAGTCAATCTTTCTGATCATTATACTGATCTGGTATTTATCATCCGCGGTAATGCAGCCTGCCAGCAGAGGACACTTGCTAAGGTCCCTCGACAAAAAAAGTGAAGAAGTTTTCTGCTGAAATCAGGAGGTCTAAGCTTCCTGAAGAAAGAAAATTGGACTTAGCCTTTTCACCAACCGAATCACTTTCCAAGCTATTTATATCAATGACCGATGTTAATTGGCTGACTTTATTGTCAGCGTGGAGACAGTTAACTTCCTCTTTGGTCTTTCCCATGTTTAGTTTAGGAAGGTTTTTATCACACCAGCAGACAAAAGATTCAACCTCCCGTTTCCAGGTCGTTGCCTTGTGTAACAATACATCCGTAACGCCTATGTCATCTGTTCCTCATATGTGTAGTTATAATAGACGTCCATCCTTACCTGCACAGTGGAGGAGGATCTGTGTTTCCGCGTGGTAGTAGTAGACATCATGGTAGTGGTCTCAATAAAGGTAGTTGACATCTCCGGTGAATTTGCTGTGGTCCTGGCTGAGCCTGCTACACTGGGTACATCCCCTACCAACCTTACACTTCCATTAATCTTGATGTTGGGGTTTCCCCCAGCAGCCATGTTCAACACTTTGAGGCCATTGTAATAAAGGCCAGACACTTGACCCTGAAAGGGCCGCCCATGATCACTACCACCAATTGCGACTGCTGCTTGAGTGTTGAAAATTGTTAGCTGCCGTCCTAGAAGAGACATCGAGATGTAAGATATTTTTAACAAAGAAAGGCAACTTCTAATATTGCAGCAGCACTATTCGTTTACAAAAAGATTGAGAGCAATTTGGTATAAACAAGATCAAACTCAATACTGAAAATGAATATGAAGGATTATTGACATGTTAACAGATAATTATAATTAAACATACCACCCAGTAAACGCATTTAAATCTGCATCAAATGACATTGAATGTGGTTAAATCAGTCTACATGAATACATAAACAAATTTTGGTTTGTATAAAGCTGCTTAAACATCGGCAGCAGTCTGGAGGCAGGAGGAGGCATGTGGATTATTCAGAATCTTCCAATTTGAGAAGTGACACACTGTGCAGTGGCGTTACACGTGGCCCACCAACTAGGACCCAGGTATGAGATTTAGGTAGATCCATTGTTGTAATGGGAATATACTATTCTAACTATGTTTTCATCTGTGAAATATTCACCTAAAGCCAGGAAACTTGGCCCCCACATTTTTACGTTACCTAAAGGCCATTGGTTCTTTTCACCCTCGTAGAGGGCGGTCTAAGCAGGACTGTATTTTATAGCAATCTCCAACCTCCCTGTTTGATGACATTACATTCCACACAAGAGGGATTTGAAACGCTCACAGACGATGCACCCGTTGTTTCACTTGCACAATGACAGCAGGACCCTCAGGACGTACACAAAACATATAATTGGAAATATTTATAAATAGTGAGAGATTTTCTTAAACTAATTACTCTATTTCATTCATTTGTTTCATAAAGTATGTTGAATTATTTTGCCAGTTATTGATTTTACAATGATTTAGTTCCTTAGAATGTTATGTATTTATCATTTTTAGCGCTGCGGTTTAATTAGGAATGGACTTGGTATAATAGGAAGAAAATCTATTCTGCTGTTTAATAAGCCTGAAATTCAGTAAATTAACATTAATGCTCCTCGTTATAGTGCAGATTAGGTTTTTCACATCATACCAGCATAGTGAACACAGATAAGCATAGAAACACTTTGTTTGAAATTACCTTTCTCTTGCAGCCATTCTTCTACTGGTCTGGCGTATTTGAAAGGAATTTTCTTATTGGCCATTTGATAGCGTTCAATGTCACTGTTCCCTTTAAAGTTTAAAAGACATTTATAAAGACTTTTATTGATCATCACCATCATGTCACCATGAGCAAATATCACGTTCCCTCTATCATTTACAATACTTTAAAATTATTTTAGCTGACGATTACATTTTCAATTAAACTTTGATTAGTTACAGAATAATTCATGTCTCCAAATGTGTTGACAAAAATGGATCCAAAATATAACATTAACAATAGTGTTATTAAATACATGAAGCATACATAATATGTGTATATTTCACCCTTTCAACCATAACAACAAATAGTTTAGCATCCTGTCGTAGGTTCAACCTCCTCATACATTTCTTTGAGACACTTGCAACAAATAGGCTGTTGAACTTGAAAACAATTTGACCTTTCAACTTTCTCTGCAACCCAAAACTATACTTTATTTAGGATTTACCAATGTGTGTGTGTGTGTTCCGTTCCATGCTATAATTATTGGCATTCACTAATATGGTGTATTACCTTTTTCAGTTTAAATGTGCTCTTTAGTAGTTGCAAATGTAATTTATCCTTTATATTTTTAATGGAAAAGAAAATATTTATATCCGGGGACCTCTCTCCAAAAATATATGGTAATGGTTATGGTTATGGTTTATGGTAGGACATGAACAACTCAGATGGTCAACTGTGGTTCAGTGATACAATGAGAGTTTGTTGCCGCATTGCAGCCTTAGTGTGTCAGGAAAACTTTTTCTAAAGTGTATCCACTAAGTGGTGCACTGACTGGCAAAGCATCACGTAGTCTGGCATCAGGGTCATTCTATTCAGCGGGGTTTCTCCTTTAATTCTCTCTCACAGACATACGATACGCTGCTGGATATGGCAGCGTATCGTATGTCTGAAGAGATTTATTCGCTTTGCTCCTTTTGCTTTTTCGCGTCATTCGCGCTGCCCGTTTAAAATCCGCCCCATTCGCGACCAGACGCGCCTGTGCATTGACTTTACATGGAATCTACTTGCGCAAATAATGGTATGTTCAATAATAATGTGAACGTACCTCACTGTTCAAACTCCTCAAACCCTCAATCTCCACCTCTGTCATCACCAGCAAATTATATTAATTTCCAGCATTCTTTAATAACGAAATCATTTAAAAATACAGAACCAGCTGTTCTTCTTTCTTCTGTGGAATTACTGGACATTCTAGTCAAAAGTGTGCTCGCCTTTACTCACGCAGTGAAGCGAAGGAGAGCGAAACAGGCCGACGCGCTTGTGTGTCTCCGCAAACGTTGACTCCGTACAACGCTGTCGGGCATATTTCTCTCCAACATGCGCGGACTGTGCAACAAACCTGTCAAAGTCAAGCTGCTGGTGAGGACTCTAAGCTCCAGCTGGCGGGCGACACGGAGCTCTCCGGCAGGCCGAACGGTGGTGGAATCTGTTTCTACTCCAACATCAGCTGGTGCAACAACGAAACAGTGATTCTATGACTCTGTTCTCTGGATTTGGAATCCTTTATTATCAACTGCAAACCCCTTTTTTCCCCCCGTGAGTTTGCTGGACTTCGCCAAACAGATACAGTGTGTGGAGCGGACCAACCCGGACTCTCTAGTTGTTGGATTATGAACGCCTTAAATACATCACAAATACAATAGATCACTGATACACCACATTAAGCGGGGCCTATGACGTTGTCTCTCGTGCTGCACTGGGACACTCTGACCACTTCATGGTCCATCTGATTCCTGCATACAGGCAGAAACTGAAGCTCTGCAAACCTGTGGTGAGGGAATTTAAGAAGTGGACCAGTGAGGCGCTGGAGGATCTTCGGGCGTGCTTTGACTGCACAGACTGGGATGTTTTCACAGAGGCTGTAACTTCCTACATCGGCTTCTGTGAGGACAGCTGTGTACCATGATGCACCAGGGTGAGTTACAACAACGACAAACCTGGTTCACAGCGGAACTCAGAACACTACGCCTGCAGAAGGATCACCTCCCCTCACACCCTGAAGCATTGTGCTGACCAGCTGTCTCCGGTGTTCACTGACATCTTCAACACCTCCCTGGAGACATGCCACGTACCAGCCTGCTTCAAGGCCTCCACCATCATCCCTGTTCCCAAGAAGCCCAGGATCACAGGACTCAATGACTACAGGCCCGTCGCCCTGACCTCTGTAGTCATGAAGTCTTTTGAACGGCTAGTCCTGACCCACCTGAAGTCCCTCACCGACCCCCTCCTGGACCCCCTGCAGTTCGCCTACAGAGCCAACAGGTCTGTGGACGATGCTGTCAACATGGCCCTCCACTACATCCTCCAGCATCTGGACTCTACGCCAGGATCCTGTTTGTGGACTTCAGCTCTGTCTTCAAAACCATCATCCCGTCTCTGCTGCAGGACAAACTCTTCCAGCTGCACGTGCCCGACTCCACCTGCAAGTGGATCACTGACTTCCTGCTGCAGCCACATCCAAGGACAAGGGCAGGCTGCAGCGTGTCCTCCGCTCTGCAGAGAGGGTGATCGGCTGCAATCCGCCGTCCCTGCCGGACTTGTTCGCTTCCAGGACCCTGAAGCAGCTAAAAAGATGGTAGCCGACCCCTCTTACCCCGGACAAAACCTATTTGAGCCCCTTCCATCTGGCAGGAGGCTGAGGTCCATCAGGACTAAGACCTCCCGCCACACCAACAGTTTCTTCCTGTCGGCAGTCGGGCTCATCAACAGAGCCGGTCCCCCACTGACTGACTCTGTTATTCAACCGGTCACTTTCTTCACACTGCATATCCACAAACACTTGTCACTTTCTGTTCGCTGGTGCACTTTATTTTTAATTTATTTAACTTTTTGTTTTGAGCTTTTATTTTTAATTTAAATTCCTCTTGCACTACACAGGGCAGGCCTTCATATTCCTCATGTCAGCCTGCAGTGCATCCAAAAGGGAGGAGTTAGAACCAGGATGAGAATCCGCTATTGAAGGAACTGTACCAGCAGACTTGTGTCCGTCACAACAGTCCTCATCTGGGATGTCTGGCAAGACGTAGGTGAATATTACCAGTTTGACCTTTTATAACGTATCCTTATGGTCTGCTCTTCAAAATGAAGTTCAGTGAAGGCCCCTGCTCCTGACTACAGCTACTCTGTAGGCAAACAAGTGCAGATCCAGCAAGTGGCCTGCCTGGTAAGCGCCCGTCTAACATGGACAACATGCACCCGAAATGAAGGTATGACGGGTGGATAAAAAAAACAAAGTCAAACCCTGTAGAGGAACATTGGCCTTTTAGATAGTTTATTTGTGGGGTTTTGTGTCACGGTGTGGTTCACTTCCTGTCTTATTTTGTAGTTTTCTGCCACTCATGTCCCCTGGTAACTTCACTTCCTGCCTTGGCCTGTCATCCCCTGTGATTGTCTGATTGTTTCCACCTGTGTCCAATCACCTGCACCTCCCTAGTGTATTTAAGCAGTGTGTGTCGCTTGTCACTTGTCACGTCATTGTCGAATGTCCTGGATGTTCCTAGCTCCTGCCTGCCTTATTGGCCTGCTCCCTGTGTGTGTTTTTACCCCTTGGCCTTTTTGTGTTTTGCTTTTTGACTATTAAAGTCTTTTGGGGTTTAAAGTCTGCGTTTGAGTCCTGCCTTCCCCGCATCCCTGACATTTTGTCGTATTTTACTGCACAAAAGATATATGTACGTTTGTGTGCCATTTAAGACACAGTTAAAAAGCCAGTGATGCATTAGTTACATAAAAAGTGAGAAAATAAGCAGTTGAACAAAGAAAGTAATAATGTTGTTCTTCACTTTGAAGCAGATGCACCCTAAACCTTATCAACTGTTGCATGACCTGATCCCATTGTCGTATTATGTATACTATTAAAGATAATTCTGATATTTATTGCTATACGTTTTCATTGTTAACTAAAGGTGTCAGATTTTCTATCGATTTGGATAGAAAACATGTTGCAGGGTGAAGATGCAAAACAAGATGATTGAATGATTAGTTTTGTACCTGTTGGGAAGTGCTCATTGATTGACCAGTTATCCACTTGCAGTGTAGCATTGCCACCATTCCTGGTAAAGCGAACAACATGATACTTCCCATCATTTACGGGGGTACTGCTCTCCCGAACACTGATATCCACTGTGCCAATGTTGAATGTCACTCCAATTTTGCCTTGTTGCTGAAATGAGAAAACATGATTATTCGTCTATATTCCTCAAGCTGATGCTGCACCGTGTTGTGGGGGCTAGTACTGTTGCCTGACAGCAGGAGGTACCGATTTTTGATTGCCAGGTTGAATGTGTCACCTTGGGTTGTCCCCGAGGCTACATCACACCAATAATCGTTTTCTAAATGATCTCCCAGTCCACTTTAGCATATCTGAAAACTAATAGTGAGCGACCATTAACGTCGAATATTTTTAAGGTTGTAATACCAATGGTGATATGTAATATCAAAAATCTTCCTCTACAAGGAAGAGACATTTTAACGGCAGTTTAAAGTATAAATACATTTTCATGGAAAGTTTTAGAAGTTTAGTTTTTCAGTGTAAGTTCCAAAGCAGCAAATTTCTCGCTGTCTCTCTCAACATTTAATTTATCTTAAAATATACACTTTCACTCGACTATGGGTCAATAGAGTTTGTAGTTTTCACTCATAGCTTGGCTGGTAGCTGAGAGTAATAACAGCTGTTAATACTTTACACTTCAAATGTGGACGTCAAAATAGGTCTTTTAGGCTTAGGCTTTTAGTTCTTATTATTTGGTAATTAAAATTTTGAGAAATTGTTTATGGTACTTTTTGAAAATCAGACCCACCCGTTATTAAAGATCTATTATTTTGAACTAGATGGTCAGGAAATAATACAATCAAAATCTTGATACAGTTTTATACTGCACCAAATAAACAACACTGTATTGTTAATTTGGTGCAGTATACAACTGTGGTGTTAAAATACTACTATCATGCTCATCAAGAGATTTCAAAAAAAGGGGTCTGCAAGTTTAGAAAGAGTCTCATGTCTCAACAATCTCCAAATCAAGAAACTAAAACTAAAAATAGGTTATTTGTTTTGGGGTGGACCATATTACTTATATTATTACTTACTTACTTTCCTAAAGTATCTCTGCTACTTGAGCAGAGATACTTTAGGAAAACCTTTAAGGAACTACAAATGGGTAAGCCTATGATAGAGCAAAGTGAACCCATACAAGTATGACAACCGTTTATCAACGATTTCTTGGGGCACTTAGTAAAGGTAAAAACATTGTAACATTTAAAACATTTAAAAGCTGCTGTGGGATAAGAGAGGTTGATCAATAAAAGATTCCCAAAGAAAATTCCCATCCTTAGTACTGTATGGTTTTCAAATGCTTACTATCACTTGCACTGTTTGTAGTCTCTATAAGGATTCATTGTCAGAAATGAAATGATATCAATAAATATGATTTATTTTGTGTATAATAACCTGGAAAAAAAACGTATTGTTTTGTTTAAATTAGCTGAGAATTAGCCATTTCCTCCTCACTAAGCCCCCTCCAATTTTCTACAATTGCCCAGAATGGACCAACCAAACTCTTTATAGGACCATCCACGTTGGCTTGTTTTCGTAATGTCCATCAAATTTCTGCAACATGCTTGGCAGAAGATTGAAAACTTTAGTTCAGGGGTCTTCAACTAAAATGCCATGAAGTCCAGTGAGAGAGAACATTTCTTGAAGCAAAGGTCCGGAAGATCATAATGTGACTACTTAGTGTTATTAAATAGAGGAATTGAGTTGTATCAACATTTGCATTTAATCACTATACACGACTAACAAATCAATTCAGTATGATTCTAAAACTCTTTTGACAATAATTATTGTCACGTAACAAAGAACTGAACATCTATGTGTGACTGCAAATATAAATAATGTTATGAATAAATAAAACTAGGGCCCCGTTTAAAAAACAATAAAATGTGTAAAATAAAGTGCTTCAATTCAGAAAAAAGAAAATAACAGGAAGAACCTGGTTTAGTGCTGCAGTGGGAAGTATGAACAGAAACCAGTCCGCCCATTGAGGATAAAATGCTCTACTTTCGCTGTCCATTTGTTCCTCATTTTTCTCACCCGTCCCTTTCTCTCGCTTTCTGCGTCTCACTCGTCTTTTTCTCAAATGTCGCTATCGTTCTTTTCTTCCTACCGTCTTTTTGTTTGTCATTTTCCGCTACCTCTCGTCTGTCCAAAGTATTGAGACGATATCATCGTCCTGCCTGGAATGCAAAGACTCGATTGGTCGAGCGATATCACATGGGATTGTTTAGCTTGAATGCTATTGGTCTGTGCTTTAAGTCACTACCGTAAAGACGACCAAAGCCGCGCCAGTAGAAAAGTGCGCTTTCACGTTTAAATCACAACCATCTTTTTTTAGCTTTTGGTCCAGATGGGACGGCTTCTGGGTCCGGATCCGGACCGCGGTCCATCAGGTAGTGACCTCTGCTTTAGTTGGTTACAAATCTTACACTCTGCTCCTTCAGCCAGTTCTCTCTTTGCACTATTTCCCTTCCTTGATTAGGAATTAGTAGGTCAGAAACAACAACTAAGAAAACAGAGACACCACCAAACATTAAATGAGACAAGTACAAGTAGAGTATGTGTGAGAACTTACAATGTGCAGCATCAGATAGTCCCCCAGACCAGGGGCACTTTCAATCCTGACCAGGATGCCATCTTTCAGGGAGGTGCTAAAGCCAACGGTCAGCCTGTCCGTCCTGGTGCTCGGTCTCTCATTAGCTGGCCACTTGAATGTAATGAGGCCTCCTCCTTTACCAAAGATGTACGTTGTGCCAGCTAAAAAGAGCAGGTGAAGATTTTCTAAGCAACTCAACTCCAAACTATAAGATAAAGTTAGTACTTAAGTTAATAGAAAATAACGTATCATAAAAGTAAAGACATCTGGAATATTATTATAATAACAAGCATGTAGTAAATAGTAAGTGTCAGTCCAATCTTCCTGAAGCATTTTGGACCTGGAAGCTAAAGGAAAAGAATCTCCGACCCACGACCTGACGATAAACTTTGGCAACTCCGTGCTAACGGCCACTTTAACCGCTAAGAACCTCGGCGTCACAATCGACAGCCAACTCTCCCTGACTCCCAACATTACTGCGACAACGCGATCCTGTAGATACACTCTCTACAACATCAGGAGAATACGTCCCCTTCTCACAAGAGGAAGACTCAGAAGGCTGCCCAGGTACTTGTCATCTCCCTCCTGGACTACTGTAACTCTCTCCTGCAGGTCTCCTGCTACCACCATTCCACCTCTGCCGGTGGCTGCCCGCATCCAGTTCTAAACACTGGTGCTCACGTACCATGCTGTGAATGGATCGGGTCCAGCTTACATCCAGGACATGGTCCAACCCGACATCCCGACCCGCACTCTCCGCTCTGCATCTGCAAAACTGCTTGTTCCTCCCTCACTGAGAGCAAAACACTCGACTAGATCTCCACCCTTTGCTGTCCTGCTCCTAAATGGTGGAACGCGCTCTCTGAAGACACCAGGACCACAGAGAGGCTTCACATCTTCCGCCGCAAACTAAAGACACACCTCTTCAGACTCTACCTTGACTAAAGACTAACAAATTGTAGCACTTAAATTGTACTTGTAACGTCACTCATCTATAGCAAATTGTAAATTGGCTTATTTGAGGAAATTGCACTTTCGTGTTTCTTGTTCTTCTGAGTTTGTACCCTATGGTTGAATGCACTTATTGTACGTCGCTTTGGATAAAAGCGTCCGCTAAATGACATGTAATGTAATGTTTGCAATAACTAAGTCAACCTAGGATGCAAATCCACATTTTTGATTAATTATCCATAGCACAATGACAGGTGCTGACAAACGTCCATAAATTCCTGCACGTCTTCCTTCAACTAGAAGCCTTCATCCCTGTCACGCAAATTGCCTCAACCTCAGCACAAGGTCTGCAAACACTGACTTCTGCATGACAGATATTGAAAATAATTGAATTAACAATAAGATAAAAATGAAATGAAATGAAATAACAAAATTCAAAACATAGGTCCTTTAATTTCCTTCGAAACCCATTGTTTCCCCATCAAAGCAATGTCACTATAAGTATCTACCTACTGAAATCCATTGGATCTAATTTCTCACTTACAGACTCACACTCAAAAACATCAGAGATTCCGAAACGACAGTCCCCACTTACGAGCCTCCACTTCCCCAGTTCCTTCCAGCCACCAGACGTCAGCAGTCCAATGTGTGTTTTTTCCATCCATCAGTCCAGGACTCTCTTTACCCTCCTTATTACTTTACCTTACACCCAATTCAACAACCGTCGATCCCTTCTTCCATCAACCACCCTTTTTCCGCAAAGTCTATACCTTTCTTGAATATACATAAACCAATTAAATCCCTCGTCATTACTAGAGAGGTCTTTGTTACCGATATAGCGTGATATAAATCTTCACAGGTACTGCAGATGTTGGTGAAATTTGTTCATTCCATATTGTACACGTGTGATATTTAATAGTGAGATCAGTACTCACGGTCATTGCACTGTATGCCAGTGTAGGAGGTCATGGAGCAGTCACATGTGTAGTTCTCCCACTGCTGGATACAAATACCCATGTTGGCACAAGAGTCCTCCTGACAGGTGGTGCTGGGACCTGCAGAAATCCAGCCATCCCAAGGACCAAACAGACACACAGCCAGACACAAACACGCACATACACAAAAAAAGAGAGGGAGAGAACTTATGTAATTTATAACCCTAACCAGCACGTGCTGAAGTTAACCCTAACCCTAGTTTAAAGGGACAACACTTTGGTTTAGAGCTCTGATGAGACAGCCCCTCTTGACTGAGACGCAATGTTCAGAGATACATCCCGCTCATTTCTGCTGGTGTCTAATCATACAATATAGCTTTTGGATTCATAAGACATCCACCTGTCATACCACTACAGTGATTTAATTTGGATCGGACAAGAGAATTGCATCGAAGGGGCAGCATTCAGAGGTTTATATAGGTCTTTACACAAAATGTGATTTGGTAAGTGTGGGATAGCAAATCACATCAAAGTGATTGTCCTGAATCGTGTTCTTTACAATCATGTAGAGAGAGAATACTGTTGGACCGAAGCACCCTGACTACACTCAAAAAGCATTAAAAAAGAAAGCATAATGGACTATCGATCAACTGGGCTATAAGCTGTTTTTCAGTACATTGTTCAGCTGATATTCTGCAATCTAGTTCTGATATGGTGGAAACCCGGTTGAACTATTCTAAAGTTTTGTTCTTTGTGGACAAAACAAGCCCTTCCTACAAAATCAATTTAAAAAAAAACATTCTTTAAACTAAAGGCGTGAAATTTCCTCTCAGACATCTGAAGGCAAGAAATCTAACTTGAAAAATAAGCAATCCACAACTGCAATTAAAGTGTACATGTGACTGGCTAAGTGAAACTATTTTTTTAAATGCTCCATGTCTATGCTGTTTAAATGTTTTAGGTATTTTATGATGACTCTTTTTAGCCAAAACAAGTTTAATTGCTAGAGACTTTTTCCTTCTCCACACACCTTGGATTATACTAATTTACTAATACTATATTTGCTAAATATTGTTCAATGAATTGGCTAAACATGCCAACGATCAGTCTTCATTAACTTATTTAACTAAGGTTAATGTGTTGAGTTTTGACTTACCTGGTAAACTGATGCAAGCTGCTCTGCCAAAGAGGCTGTTCAGATCCAAGTTAATTGCTGATAAATTAGATAGTAGAATTCAAAAGGGTCAACACAGGAAAATCCTGCAGCTGATCTACATATAGGGTACTAGATTTAATGTATGATAAACCACAGTAAAAAGCTTATTGGAGTTACGACCGGGGCTGTTCCGTTCCATTTTCCCCACAGTGTGGTATCACCCTCTAGTAACAGCAGGGTACGGCAAAGTCAACCATTATTAATCGGTGATTACAGTATGTGGGCACACTGGATAAAGAAACACAAATTCAGTTATGCAATGAATGTTTGTGATGAAAAGCAGGCCGTGCATGTCAGTATAATAAAATGAGCAATCAACTGATCGTCGCACATAAGCAAAAAAAGAAAGAAAAGAAAGAACACAAGCACAAAGAAAAATGAGACAATGCCATGGAGAAGACCAACATTGATTGATGAGATTTTATTTTGAAAAATAAATTTGTCAACATTACTTTCTTGCAGTACATATAGCACAGTGAAAAGCATTGTTTTCAAAAACCACATTCAAACTGTCAGAGCAAAGAGGACATAGAGGACATAGTGTACACAATGTTATAGTCTGTCTTGATTCAAATGAAACATATAGCAACATGTATTTCTCTAAAATGGAGCTCGGTAGGTCAACGTAAAAAACAAAAACTACACTCAATGTCTAGCGGAATGATATGGCAAGAATAAACATCTGTAGAGAAAAAGGTTTCCATGCAGGAGGTTGTGGCACCCAGAACCTTGAGATGATGACAGATACTACTACAACAGAATGACGACTTGAAGAAGAAACATTTTGTCCACAGTGACATACTGTGTGCTTGCAAAATGTTTCAAAAGCCCCTTTTGATGTAGCTACAATATGCATGAACTATTGAAGATCAACACAAAATAAACCAACCAACCAAGTTTTGCTTTGTTAAAAAAAGGGTACGGACTGGGGGCCGCATGTACGTACATTTGCAAACGTAGCGTTATGAGCAAGCTAGAGAAAGCGCACACTGTGATACTTGAGCTGTATTTACGAAACCCGCTCATCAGGTGATCAGCGCCTTTCTCCAGCCTCTAAACCACAGATTATGAGCATTTCTACGCACACTTGAATGGACCTCCTTGTCTTTCTATCATGGATCAGCCAAAGTCAAAACAGGGGTAAAAAAAACGAAATTGTGTTATTCCGGCATAAGTGGGGGGCGGATGTATGTATTGACTATAGCAACGCGTTAAGTACTTGTACTGCGATATTCCCACTGCTGATGCTGTGACTCTTTGAAATGATCCTGATACCAATAATTGTAATGTAGCGAGGAGTTTAACACCTGCTGGACTGGAATGTGAACGCTGAGTCAGAGATGTCATCTTTGATTTCTTCCAGTAACTGTAATATTGCGTGTCTGCTTAATCTGTAACGCGTAATGATTTCAGTTCACTTAACTGAAAAAGTCTGACCCTTGTGGCAGAAATCCTTTCAGCTCGTCTCCTTGGCCTATGTCGCCGCCTGGCTCTGATTACTGCTGTCATTTCACCAGGAAGCAAATGTGAGGAAACCGCATTCTGGTTTACACCTGCTTTTAAGAGGCAGAGAATTCTCACCGCACAACAAAGGGGCGCTTCCACGGCTGGTTTCTGTACATGATGGCGAATATATAATTAGAATATATAATCCCTTCTCTTCATGGGAAACTGCCACTTTCCCCTTGACCCTCCTGTGAATGCATATGCATGACACGGAAGCAATTTGCCTTTTTCGGTTATGCGTCAGTCTGCTTTTACCTCAGTGCGGCTCATTTGTAGATACCTGGCCATGCTTTTACAGGCACAAGTACATGAGGCCCTGAGTCATGAAATGGCCTGATTTTCAACCTGCACATCCATACTCAGAGCTTCAATGAGCAAGCCATTTATTCCGTATTTATGTTGTTGGTTTGTCCTAAAGTACCATTTTTGCTTGCCCCTCAGCCTTAAAACAATGCGGCTAAAAGTTAAGGCTTTAGTTACCGCGTTTCAGGCTTTTTCAGACAGGAAACACTTTATATTTTTGCGTTTGCGGGTGAACACTCGACAATCTCCAGAATAGTTAATCAGATCTACTTTACAACGGACAGGTGGAGGACCTCCAGGGTCAAAATTGTTGACATTAAGAAACACAATCCTCTTTATGTGTGTTTTTGAATTGAATGCTATTTGACCATATAAAGTAGTAAACAACTAATTTATGTTTACAAACTATATGTATTCCCTTTAACATAACAAGTTGTCTCAGCCAACGGGTAGTTTCATATCCGTCTAAATGTTTTATTAGAATAGTCAGCTAAGTCGTGGAGTTGACTTTATCTGGTTCAATATGAATAAAACGCTTTCATAATCTGTCCCTGGTAGGACTTACTGGTAGGTTTTAACAGATTCTGCCACACAGAACCAACCTTTTTCAACCATGTAATGGAGGATTTTTGTCCAAATATTCTCTGCTTTATGTCTACAAATTCAATGAATTAGTCTGTGCCATAGCTACCAATGGTACTGAACCTAGAGGAATAGAAATGAGCTTTTCTTCTGCTTTTTCACTCACTAAACTGAACGACGTACCTATAATGAGTCATTCGTGCACAATGTGCTCTCTCTCTAATGTTGTTGTTCAACAGTATTGATGCAACCCTCCTGATGAATATGTATAAGTACATTAATTTAAGGCATTAAAAACAAAAAAAGGCATGTTAAAGTGTAAACACATATCAGTAACTCAAATCCCTCAAATACATTTTTACATGTTTATTTACAGCCGTTGTATAATGGGCTCTAAAATGCAGCTGACCCACAATTAAAGCTTTACTTTAAAGCATTATTGGCAAACATTGACTGACTACTGAGATTGGTTATGTGGGAATTGTATTAGCCCGTTTTCATCCAAATAGGGTTTTTGTGGGGTTAATAGCTGTCAGTTATGTCCTGTATTGAGTTTGGGGTAGCTTACCTGAGACAAATTGATGGGTTAGTTCTCATCCTCAAAGCCTTTTTATCATGTAAAAGTGAAACATAAGTTATTTGTTGTAATGTATATATATTTTTAGAGTTTTTTTATTAGTCACATGTTTACACATGAGCAGTCTTTCTCATGATACTGCTCATTAATACAGGACCAGTCAACTACGCAGCAATAAGTAATTGCAACATCAGTCTGATGTTGCAATGTCATTAGGTACCAAAGCTTTAGAAGCATATCAACAAAAACTAAGGGGGACAACGCTTGGTCAATGGTCGATTAGATTTGTAGTTTATTTTCATCATTCGTTTTAGGAATCTACTTATTTAGAAAAGGTTGCACTGATTGTGAATGTATCTCTGTACAATCAGATTGATGCAGCTTCACCTCAAGTGACCTCTGCAGTACATTCTTATTTCAATAATATTGCTGAAGATTCAACACTCACAAGATTCTGAACAAACGGTGAACTTAACAAAAGCTGAAGAGATAACAATGGAGGACCTGGCAGTATTATGTGTCCACAGTAGCAAAAGCTGCTGACGGTGACCGAACGGCACTGTAAAGAGGAGACCAATGTGGCAGGTAACAGGTGGCGTTGTCTAGGGATTGTTTGACCTCACTCTAGAAGTGGTTCAATGAGGCTAGAAGTACAGTTATTAGAATGGAGGGGCTTCCATGTGGGTGCAGGGCCATAGAGCTACTGTTTGCATTGAGCAGGAAAAAGGTGCTGCTAGAGATGGAGTTAGAGTTCAAGTTTGAGTCGTACAAGTCTAAATGGGGCTCAGATTTGAGGGGCGATGTACCTTCACATCCACGCTCTATCTGCCCGCTGCGAAACAAGGCGTCATTGAGGAGATCCGGTAGGCGACCGTTGAGGTCGATTGATGCCAAACAGCCTTGGTAGCCTTCTCTGGAAGCCACTAGTTTTGGCAGGTTGCCATACATACCTGGACCCAGTCCTGCGATGAACAGATCACCTGGGATATAGACAAGACAAAGAAACTGTTAAGATCTTGTCTGATATATCTATGCAATAAAAACTGTCTTCCTGGCTTCTTTTTTACCGATTTGTGACCTCTTTATTTATCTGGAGTAATTCTACTAGTAGTACTTCACTGCAAATCAAAACCTGAAGAAACATTTTGTGGAGTGTCACAGGGTTGCAAGCTACTGTGCAAAATGTAGGAGAATGTCATCATAACAGTTTGGAACTCAAACTGCCTAAAGAGAGCGATGAATTGGTATCAGTTACACATATTCTCACACCTTTTCAGAACTATTCACTTTAGTAAAGAACAGAGCCTACGTTCCTAATCGATACAATTTGCTGCTTGTAGTTTTCTCCCTAAAGAAATGGGTACCTCGCTCCACCGGATGCATACAATGCGCTCTCAATACCACTTACCATACGTTGTGTTCAACATGTTGTACCACCCCCATAATGACATTTCAGTAGTACTGTATGATCATGTTCCCATGGTAAATAATAAAGAAAAAATAATGCAGGACACATAAACATAAAATGTAGACATTGTAGTAGTTTAAGGACATGCTTTACACAGACATTTTAAAATAAAACATTTTTCATGACATTTGTATACCTTTTAGGTCCAGATTCTTGGCTCCGTTGATACTCTGAGTAGTGGCTATTGCATCTACTTTCAGTGTGTGGGTGTTGCTGTTGTCTCGGGTGATGGCCACATTGTGCCACTGGTTGTCATTCAATGCCCTGTCACTTTTGCCCTTGATGAGGTTGGGCCCATTTCCAAGGTCAAAAACGTAGTGGATGTATCTGCAAGAAGAAAGGTATGAGAGTTACAGATTGCTTTTCTGCCTCAGTTTGAAATGTCGACTAAGTGGCATTCCTGAAATAAAAGGTCTGAAGAAATTAAATTGGCCCTTGTACAGGTTGAGGGTTGAGGTTTTATCACCAGCTTCTCTATTTGGCATTTTGAAATGACTTTAGGCAAAGCACTGAACCCACAGATTTATGAAGGCAAATCAATGTCAAACTGAGCAATGAGGTCCGTGCGCCAAATAAAACAGTGCTAAAGTCCTTTTAGTGTGAACAAAAGTCCCTTTTAAATTTTTAATTTGCTCGCTTGCGAAATTTGAACCTGCTCGACTCGCGAGTAATTATTCTTTTTGACAGTAAGTGGGCGGACCCAGTCACCATGCTATCTTTGTATCTAATTGGTTAAAATCGTTGCCTTAGACTGTCATCATTAGTCATCCTGGATTAGATGGATTTTCATCTTTTATTGAGAGTTGTACATATTGACTATGGCAGCCCATTTCCTTACTAAAAACTACATTGTAGGGGTAGAATGTCGCTGTTTAAATCCCACCTCAGGCCTATGTGAGTCTAATCGTTATTGGGGACTTTAAAAGAGAAAACCTAACCCTAACCCCTTTTCTGCATTTGAATGCAGTAAAAACAACTCTGTTACAGACAGTGGCGGCTGGTCCATAGAAGGAAATGGGGCGTGGCCCCACCTCTATCCAAGAAATAAATAAAAAAAGATTAGAATTCTTTTTAATTATGTTAAAAATGCATTTTAAAAATAGTCAATTTCTGTCTCTTTGTGTTTTTGGAACATGGAATATACCCAGTATTATTTGTAAATTAAGATATCTGCGCAAAATATATGCTTTTCCTGCACGTCCTCTCCTCTTGTCTCAGCTAGGCTCGGGCCGTATATTGTATTATTTTGATCCTTTAATATTATAAATATTTATTATATATTTCATGATATTTTGTATATTTATAATAGTTACGATATCGTACCAAAAACCGATGGCAGGCATTATGCAACGGGAGACATGTTCATCTTTACATTGTCATTTCATATATTGTTATTATAAAGCCATCTATGAAAGCAGTTTTATGTTGGTATTCAAATAACCCGATTCGTACATATTCAGGATTCCAACCTGTAAAGGTTTAACAAGCATGCTAAAACGTACCCTTTTACCAGTTCTACAGCGATAAAATCGTTGCCATCTCCAGAGTTAAAGATTATGAAGCCGTCTGGGGAGGTTGTCTTGAACTGGAAGAAGAGGTGCATGGATGTATAGGCCTGTAAGGTGGCCAGGCTCAGATAGCTGCTCTTGGATTTGAAGGTGACAGGGTCAGCGATGATAGAACGAATCCCAAAGCGTGCATTGAGCTCGCAATAATCTATGTCACCGTTTTTGCACAGGTCAATGTAGAGCATGCCGTTAAATCTGAGGAAATGACAGGAACAGACAGTTGACATGATTGACCTACAAATGAGTTTATTATTGTCATTTAAAGCCTGTTAACAGATTAAAAGTATATAAAAGAAAAACATTTTCTGTATCGAAAACCCTCAGTTAAATAAATCTCCAGTTTGTGAATTCAGAAAGCAAATCAATTGATGGGTTTAGCCATTTGGGGAAGGAGATCTCCTCTACCTTCTAGCAAACATAAAATCTGGCTATTGTTCCTTAAGTACAGAGGCTGGAGCAAACAACAAGACCATGATAATTACCTAAAGAGGCAAAATTATTCTATGGAGCTATATTTTATAGAGAAAACTGTGGAATTGATGCCTTGTCATTTGTTCCCACTATGAAAACAATTCTTAGTTAAACGATAAATATATACTAATATGCCTTTAACAAGTCAATTAAAAATTGGTTATCGGAATACCTCAGACTCTGCAGATGACCAATGAAGCTGGATGGGATGCTGGAAACAAATCGACGCTCTGTCATGATTCCTGTTTCAATGTTGTGGAACTCCAAACGAGTGTGGTCGCCCACCATCTGGCCTGAAGACGGGGAGGGTGGAGGGGATGGGTTGAAAAGAAAGACAAAAACGAAAAAGGAAAGAGAACACTGTCTGACACTAACACAAAAGGGCTGATTTAAAAAGAAAATTACAAATTACATTATTAGATGGATGCAAACTGCCATCAAAGCTTAAATATCTACCTGCTGTCTTTGTAGCAGAATAAAATACAGATTTGCTCTCTCTACGGCAACTCCACCGCATGGCGCAATACCGCTGACAAGGCAACAATAAGCATGCCTTCAAGCAAAAAAACAAGTTGATGCAGGTAAGTACCTTCTGCTACATCATCGTCAACAGTTAGCTTGTAGGTTTTGCCACGACGCACCACTCGCACTGTATGCCATTCATTATCATTGAGCTTTTGCCCAGCATACAGGGTCTCCGGTCCCTTGCCTGGGAACAATGTTCAATCACAAAGTTAAAAACATCCTGAGGCTAAAACCAGACCTTTGTTTCCCAACTCTCGGCTTTCAACAATTGGCAGGATCCACCAAGCAGCTTAGCTGAATTGCTTTAATAGAGTCAAAGTATGCTTTTGGGAAACTAAGGTTTGGTTTCGTCAGTGAAATACAGTACTAAGTACTTGACATTTATAATTATAAAATACCCCTCACCAATATTTTGCAGTAAAGAGACATGGCTCTCCAATAGAAAGGGCTACTACACTAGGACAAATTGCTTTTACTCATCATAGGCTTACAGAAATTCTTTCCTCTCACTTCTTCCTTCCTTACCTCCTTTCATTTCTTTCTTCATTGATTTTTCTGAAGATAAAATCAGAACAAAAACCACAAAGTAACCTCAGCCATATCAGACATTCTTGCCTAATTGTTACAAATAATATCTTTTTGATCCAGGGCTTGATCAAATTCATCTATTTTCGAAAACTTTGAGGTAAGATGTCATCAAGTCAAACCATCAGCGGCTGGCCAATAGGGAGCAACGAGGCGTCGTTCCACCTTAAGCACCCCTTCTTGAGCCAAAGGAAAAGCTCGTAATAAAGTATAAAAATGTCAATATTGGTGTTTTGAAATATGAAATGTACCCAGTAATATTTATAAAACATGATATCCGTGCAAAGTGTATGCTTTTCTTGCACATCCCTGCCTGTCAACGCACGTCGTTTCTTCACGTGCGATTTAGCAGTCCTAGCAGCAACCTGAAAATTGCGTGCAGAAGCACCAATTGGTGATTAAAGAAAAAAACGTGTGACTTACAATTTAGCCAATATACTCAGCTTTGGGCAACATTGGTGTTGCCCCAACGACGAGGCTGGTATTGACAGGCCACAACAGCACAAAGCAAGAATCCCTGATATGTTATACTACTGGAGGGTATTTTTCCCTGTCCTTGCGAATCTCTGAATAATCCATAACACAGAGAGGACAATAAAAGGGGGCAACTCAATAGAGAGCGACACTTTGTTGGAGTTTTTGGAGACCTGAGGTACCAACTGACTTGGAGTCAAGTCCGGACTTAGAAACTTTCTCTGGGATCTTAAACGTTTACCCGTTTTTGTGTGACAAATTCAATTTATTAGGAGATACTTTTTTTATTCATTATATAATTATATATATTTTTTATTCAATATGTAAAAACAGTCAATCTATTTATTAATAATCTATCAATAATCTATCCATCTATCAATAGTCTAAGTTCAGTAGCAGGTGTCCAGCAATAAAGGCTGGCGCATGTTTCTGCGTCTTTACGCACCGTCGTGTCGACGCACTTGTTTCACTTCCTGGTTGTAAAGTCCTGCGTGTGTTGCAGAGCGATTCACCTCCAGAACAACAGGTGGAGTCACGTGTTCTGTTGAAGACGACCTGGAGAGTCACGTCTTTGTGTGTGGAAGTCGTTGGTTGCTTTATTTATTGATCATAGACTTTATTGCCCCGTGCATCCACACTGCTGCTTTTCATCACGGACACATTTGTCCCGTATTTTCCTCCACGACTTTGTTCCCCTCGTTTGTGGAGATCTCCCTCCATGAATCAGAGGCCGTCCGGCGTCCTCATAGTCCGCCAACGACGGCTTGTACAAGCGCTCATATTTACGCATTTCTTCAGACTAAAGCTCTTCAATGTGATCCGTTCTCTTGTAAACATTCTTCGTTTTAATAATGGCCGTATTGTGCTATGAAAACGGAAATGTGAGACTCAGTAAAGGACGTAGTTAGCAGACCAATCACAGCCTTGTGGGCTGCGGGAGGCTGCGTCGCTTTTGACGCTAGTCTAGAAAAATGGGTCGACGCACGCAAGGAGGTGTGAAAAGACAAAGACGCAAGGGACACGCAAGAGACTCTTGCGTCTGCGTGTCCTTGCGCTGCAGGGATTTACTATGCATGGACCTTTCACTCTGTGAAGTCCATGTTTATACTGGGTTTTCTTTCAACATTTTTCGTAAAAAAGATTAAAAACACACTTACAGCGATACAGGCTACTAATAACTGGGGCTCTATCAGCTCTGCCTTAGAGATGAATGAAATGAAATCCATTTTTCTGTCCTCCATTAGTTGGTTCATATGAGCGCACTGCAGCAGACTTAGGCGCGCCCCAGAATGCTCTCATTGGTTGGGACGCATGATGACACCCCCCCAAGTCCATACTGATCAGAACCCCCGCCTCCTCCTTTGACCCATGACTTTCAATTAATTTTAAAATAAAGATTATTGGCGTTAAGTAATTAATTCGTTAAAGGGATAATAACGTGTTAACTTGCCCAGCCCTAATATATATACATATGTATGTAACATATATGTATATATACAGAAATAAATAACAAAAATAAATAACAGATATGACAGTTAAAGTCTCAACGACCTCGTAATGAGTAAAAGCAATCTGCATAAACAACTTTACATTGTAAAAAGCAGCAGACACTCATGTAGTTGCAATAAAAAAAATCCCATTAGTAAACTTTCATTGTGTAGAATATAAACTGACCCAATAGTTCATGGGGTTGGATACAATTTTCCTAAAAATTACAAAACTTCCCTCAATGTTTTGCGGAATTTAAGATTGAATGTTTTTAAATTCAGTTTCTGATTGACCTTTCACCTTTAGTAATATGTTATTTCTCTCTGGGTTTATGCTAAGACAAAGATATATATTTTTTCAATTGCACACCGACGATACATTGCTGCTGATCATTTCTCATTAGTGCACCATAGTGTAATGTAGCCGTTATTTACAGCAATTACTCTAAATTACTGTAAAATTATTGGATGGAAGTAATTATGTTACAAATTGGGTTCTGCAGCATTGTAGATGGGGTTCACTCTTAAGGTTATTTCACCCTTTGGGGTGCACCTAATGAACAGACGATGTTGAACTGCTTCTTCTCAATCAGGGGTGCCCAATAGATTGATCGCGATGACCAGTCGATCTCGAAGGCAGTACCAGTCCCCCCCCCCCGTCACCCGGCAGGGAGGGGGGGAGATCGCCATGACCTGGTTAGTTGAAAAGTAGCTTGCGAGCCCGAAAAAGTGTGGGCACCCCTGATCTAGATTATTAAGACTAGACACTAAGCATTTATTTAAGACCTGAGTACCACTCAGCCACAACTAAGTTGTTGTGCTATGTTGTCGTAATGGTGCGACAATGGTTTTATTTCTTGATGGCAAATAAGAGAATAGTAGTATAAAGCAGTTAATATCTAATAAATAAAATGGATCACTAACCATTACATTTAACTGTTAAATTTTGGTTCCTGTTGAATTATGGGAAGTTTAACCCATTGAGTGAACATATCCTTCATTTAAGATTTAGAAGAATGTGGAGGGCAGTGCAGGTACATATTAAAAACATGTCCTTCAAGAACAACAACAAAACAACATCAACATACCATCAACATTAAAGCAAAATGAAACTTGAGTGTTAACTTACTGGAGTTACAGTTTATCCTGATACAGTCTAGATGGGGAAGAATAAATGACAGATGAAATTGCATCCTTCAAGGTTACTGCTGCAGACATCCAAAAACAAAAAGTCCACCCTTCCGGGGACGTACACATGCAGAGAGGCAGCCATTTTATTAATTTAGTATTTAGTCCACTTCATGCTAAATTACCATGAAATAAATTATATACCGTAAAGATTTTCAAAAACACAATTAAATAGGAAATACGATAATGCATGAATTCATCATAGATGCGCTGGTTGTACAAAGTTACCCATAATACCAGAGTTGAAATTTATTTAATGTTTACAGTAAAATGGCCACTTGTAGTACCAGCTACATGACTTGTCCAACCCAACACTGACTGTCCCTCAGGTTTGAAAAATTAAGAACAGAAAAGTCAAAGCCTTAGGCTCCAAATCCTCCGCACTAGGAAGACTGTATAAGCCATCTGTTTAAGAGCTACGGATTTTTGAGAAGTCAAGAAATACAAAGTGATAATTTGTCACTTTAATATGATATTGATACAGATACAATGTTGATTTTGTAAGACAATGGAAAGTGGAATTCTAAAGTTTCTCGACAGTCCCACTGAGGCCAGAATAACTACTGTATGCAGTTGTGAAGACAGTGAGGGTTGATCACCATGTGGCTGGTGGTTTCATGTGTCGTCAACCGCAACAGAAAAGTGGGAGCAAACAGCCACGATCCAATCAGCACCAGCACCATGCAGAGGCACAGTAACCCCAACCATCAGATCAGGAGAATTACAGTATGCTACGTGTGTCACTAAGATCAGAGGCTAGATCTACCAAATAACTTTACAAATGTTCTGTAGTCATTCACAAAGATTAACAAAAGCCAAGCAATCGTATGAGTTCTGAACAATTAAAATTTGCACATAAAATTGTTGACCAAAATCTGGGGTACTATGTGGCTTGGAAATACCAGCCAATGTCTGTTAATATTGCCAATACTCTTACAATTGTTTTATAAAGACTTTTAATGTTATTTTCAATATATACATTGTTAAGTATGATTCACATACTTTATTATAAAGTATGTTGGGAAGTATTTGGGGTCGCAGCCAGCTGTAGGTTTAGCTGGGCTCTGTTCTCGGGCTGTTCGCCTGACGGGCCGCAGGCTTAAGGCCTTTGAAGGGGTGAATACCATCTTTTGACAAAGCATGATGGATAATGAAATTGACATATAAACATAAAGACAAAACACTGAAAAGCATAGACCTCCAGAAAAGACACCATTATTTGCAAAGAAAAAAAGAGGAAGGTGTTAGAGAAATGACTTAATCTGAGACAGAAAACTAGGTTATTGAGAAAGACGAGATAGGTTTTTCTAATGTCCTGTTGAATGATGGACTGAAAATCAGTGAGAATACTCGGCAGTGGTTTGTTTCTTCAAAAGGTTTAGTAGAAATATTTTTTACATTATATTATTATTATTACTTCATTATCTTTATGTACTTATTGTGCTGTTACTGTCTCAAACGTTATGTTACAGAATACAGATATTGTGTTTCTTTCTGTTTCAAAGAAGTTATACCAAACCATATAAATGAAGTTATGATGTGTAGTCTAACATTTTGTCTTGTAAAGGGTTTTCAGTAAGCAGGCAATGGAATGCATAAAACAGCATATATACCCATGCAAAACAATTTTCTAAAGCCTGGAAAAACCTTTGAGGTGTCATAGGGATGAGTAACTGATAAAGAAAGATGTGCAAAAAGAGATAGAGGTCACCACTCAACAGTGAACTCTCAGGGTGATGGTGGAAGTGTGGAGGCTGATGGGTGGCAGTGGCCATACGATACCTAGGTTGACCGTGAGTTTGACGCGACCGCCATCCAACTCCAGCCTGAGTGTATCGGCTGATTCTCGAGAAGTGGTGGCCATGAGTAGGCCATATGCCCGCTGGGAGCGAAAACGCAGGGAGACGTCCTCAGCCTCAGTGTGCATGATGTTCGGCATCACCACCTTCATATACATGCTGCCATCATAAGAGAGGATGGAGGCCTCTGTGTGAGAGAGTCAAGCGCATAGAGAGACGTTAGCAATATCATCAGCTGGAGCAACACAATGATGGCAAAGGCTGCACATTTTAGTCAGTCCTTCAAGATCGTTGGCCGGGGGCTCCATGCTATGTGTTTTTCTCTCTGTTTTGTTTTCCCTTCTTTTGTATGAATATTGGCCAGGACAGCTGTATACGGTGGAATATGGAGAGTGGAAAAGAGAGAAGTTCTCAGAGAGTGTGCTAGTTGGTTGACATGCTCAAAAATATATTCAATCAAGAAGCAGACAGCAACTACAGTCCTCAAGGAATACAGTCCCATCACATCAAGAACAAAATTCTTGAAAAGACCCTTTAGATACATCACCGCCCAGTCTGGATCCGCACCACTCTGCATATAGACCCGAAACACGAAAAGACAATGCCATTACCTATGCACTCCAAAATATATTCCTCCACCCTGAGTTAAGAATACACACAGCTGCTTTATTCCATGCATTCATTCTCAGCCGATTGGGTTCATAAACATAGGAGACTTTTCAATATGATTTAGGGGCAGCAAATTCACGAATACTTTACCAGGAAAAAATGTCCCTCCCTAAAATGTTTCTAACTGTGTTAGAACATCCAATTACTGTTTTGTCATAGATTTTTGATGTAGTATTGTCCATGCATTCAAGTTTTGAACCGTATCCATAATTGTTACACTCATTGGGGCAAGTAGCATTATTATCAGTGTTACTGCAGGTGTATACACTCCAACACATCAATGTTTTCTTCTCCTTTGTTGTATGTAATATTGACACTGTTATCATATGTCCTATGTCTTGCATAAAATATATATTTCATATTTTTATGTAATCATATCTTGTTCATATTCATTCCATCTTCTCTAATATATTGTAACTTGTAATATTAAGGTGGATGCTTCAAATCCGCCCAGTGGTACTTTCTGCCTCTTCCTGCTTTCTGTTATTATTAGGGCCCGAGCAGCCGACAACATCGATCCTGCAGCAACCTATGGAAACTGTTTGTATTCTTATTTATTAACCATTTTATTTTTGTACATTTGGCACATTTGGGCGGTACTCGCTATACCAAGAACTTCTTTCGGCCTCATCATCAACTACCAGACAGTAGCAATAGTGTTTACAATAAGTATAACAAAAAAAGGTATGTCGATGGCCGCGGCTGATTGGTTGAAGCAACTTTCTACCCACTGTAGGATTACATGAATTTGAACAGTGTGCCAAAACCGAAAGATTATGGGTTTGGGTTGGAATCGGTGATGAAAAGCAAAAACTTTGTTTGATGGAATGCCGTAGTGCGTTCATCAATGCTTGCAGCTTTGACTTATCTTCGTTACGTTTTTAATTTTCTGTAATAACACAACTCGGAACTCTGCCTCTGGGTGGTGTGGTGGTTAGCACTCTTGCCTCACAGCAAGAAGGTCCTGGGTTTGACTCCATCCAGTGGTCTTTCTGTGTGGTGTCCATGTGGGTTCCCTACGGGTACCCCGGCTTCCTCCCACAGTACAAAGACATGCTCTGGGCATTAGGTTGATTAGTGACTATAAATTGCGTGTATGTGTATTTATGTGTGTGAAGGGTTGTTAGTTGGCAACCTGTCCAGGGTGTACGCCGTCTTGTCTGAGGTTAACTGGGATTGACCATGTATGAATGATAATGGATAGATGAACTCTAAACTGCTAGACGCAGTTGATCCCAGTGGCTAAGTCCCTGTCTGTACACTGTATACTAACCCCCAAACAACACAAACATTACATTTGCACAAAACAAAGGTGATGCTTATCAATGAGGGTAATGAATCAGCCAACAGGGGAAGAGAGGCTAACAGGCTTGTTGTCATCAGGAATCAGGAAATATTTATTCCCAAAATATGTCAAAAACATACAAGGAATTTGTCTTGGCGGTTGGTGCGTGACAATAGACGGTGTAACAATAGACAACAAGACAGCAGTGCACAAGTAATAAAATAAAATGAAATGCTAATGCAATGGGTAAGTAGAATAAGGCTATGGGTTAGTATAAAATAAGAGAAGGGGTCGGCTACGATCTTTTTAGCTCGCTTCAGAGACCTGGAAGCGAACAAGTCCTGCAGGGACGGCAGATTGCAGCTGATCCCCTTGCCTGCCCTTGTCCTTGGCTGTGGCTGCAGCGTACCAGACGGTGATGGAGGAGCAGAGGATGGACTCCATGATGGCCGTGTAGAAGTGGACCATCATCGTCTTTGGCAGGTTGAATTTCTTCAGCTGCTTCAGGAAGAACAACCTCTGCTGAGCCTTCTTGGTGATGGAGCTGATATTCAGCTCCCACTTGAGGTCCTGGGTGATGATGGAGCCCAGGAAACGGAAGGAATCCACAATAGTGACGGGGAAGTCACACAGGGTGATGGGGGAGGGTGGGGCTCTGTTCTTCCTGAAATCCACAACCATCTCCACTGTCTTTAGAGCGTTGAGCTCCAGGTTGTTCTGACTGCACCATGACACCAGATGGTCAGACTCCACCTGTAGACGGACTCATTCCCACCAGAGATCAGTCCAATGAGGGTGGTGTCATCCGCAAACTTCAGGAGCTTGACGGACTGGTGGCTGGAGGTGCAGCTGTTGGTGTACAGGGAGAAGAGCAGAGGGGAAAGAACGCAGCCTTGGGGGGAACCGGTGCTGATGGTCCGAGAGGCTGAGACATGTTTCCCCAACTTCACATGCTGCTTCCTGTCAGACAGGAAGTCTGTGCTCCACTTGCAGGTGGAGTCGGGCACGTGCAGCTGGGAGAGTTTGTCCTGCATCAGAGACAGGATGATCGTGTTGAAAGCAGAGCTGAAGTCCACAAACAGGATCCTAGCGTAGGTTCCTGGGGAGTCCAGATGCTGGAGGATGTAGTGGACCTGTTGGCTCTGTAGGCGAACTGCAGGGGGTCCAGGAGGGGGTCGGTGAGGGACTTCAGGTGGGACAGGACTAGCCGTTCAAAAGACTTCATGACTACAGAGGTCAAGGCGACGGGCCTGTAGTCATTGAGTCCTGTGATCCTGGGCTTCTTGGGGACAGGGATGATGGTGGAGGCCTTGAAGCAGGCTGGTACGTGGCATGTCTCCAGGGAGGTGTTGAAGATGTCAGTGAACACCGGAGACAGCTGGTCAGCACAATGCTTCAGGGTGTGAGGGGAAACTGAGTCCGGGCCGGCTGCCTTACGGGGATTTTGTCTTTTAAAGAGCCGGTTAACGTCTCTCTCCAGAATAGAGAGGGTCGTTGCTGGTGGGGGAGGGGAAGGTGATATAGATGAAGAGGCGTGAGCACCTGATGGGCTGGGGAGGGAGGGGAGGGGGGGCTCATAAAGAAAACTCTGAAAACTTTATCAACGACCCACACAGGTAAAACAACATAAAATCATGACAAATATAGACATGTTAGGGCACTACAGTATATCATATGGTTGAACCTAAGAAATAAAAATAAATAAAGCAGAACTGACGTGACATGTACTGTGTTCCAACCGCTCTCACACACACACACACACACACACACACACACACACACACAGACTGAGAGCTCAGTGTGTCCTAAAATACTGACGGCAGACTGTATGGACTCACAAGACACTATGAAACCCACCATCCTGATCATGTGAACCCACATCATATATATTTTTTAATGATCCTGCTGTTTAAATATGTTGTTTGCAAAGAAATTTAGTTATTGCTATTTTATTTTCAGTAAAAAAATAAAAAATAAAAACGTGGAAAAATACAGTGCCTTGCATTGTATTCATCCCCCTTGTACTACCCCGTTTTGTACAAACTAGAATTCAAATAGACTTTAATAGACCTTGTCCCATATGATTGACAGAATATGCATAGTACTTTGAATGAGCAAAATACTTTTTATTCTGACAAACAATAATAAGAACATTAAAGCTGCAAGCAGTGTTGGGTCCTCGCTACTCCGCACGTCGGGGCACCGGCCGGATGGCTAGAAACGCAGCCAAGAACTCCTGCAGCCGTTGGACAAATAATCCAGGAGTCAGTTGTCGTTAACCATAGGGATCAACACTAGAAATGCTGCTTTGACAAATTCATCTTTAACATCCAACTTCCTTCAAAATCCTTCACAAGACTACACCTGGTCAATTTCAGATTAGAAGGGGAAAAAAGGAAACACTCAATAGTTACATGATAATTCCACTTCAGGTTGATAGTACACATCCCCAAGCTGTCGCTCAGAGATAACCAGGGCATTCTGATGTACCATTCCAAAATGAAAGCCTCTCAAAATACCACACATGAGCATATTTCCTTTAAACTCTCCATCACAGAACTACATCTCGTCAATTTCGCATTAGATTGAAAAAGGAAACTATCAAGTAGTTAAAAGATCATTTGACTTCAGGCGGATAGTACATATCCCCAAAGTGTCACGTAGGGTTAATCAGGACATTCTGATCTACTATTCCAAAATTAAAGCTTCTCAAAATACCATACATGAGCCATTTTCCTTCAAATTTGCAATCACAAGACTACTTTTGGTCATTTTCAGGTTAGAATTAAAAGGCAAGTATTAATACATACATGATCATTTAGATTCAGACTGATAGTACACATCCCCAAGGAGTCCCTTCCACTGACTCCTTCTCACTCTTGCATCCGAACGCTGCTGCTGAGACTCTCCTCTCAACTCTTTCCTCCTCTCTAGACTCTCTCTGCCCTCTTACGACCCGACGGACTGGCAAATCCCCTGCGGCTCCGTGGCTGTCTCAACCGGTGCCATGAGAGCCACCATGCGAGCATCGGAAAGGAGATGGCGTAAATATAAAAGACCCGATGAACTGCTTGAATTTCAATCACTTCTCTCCTCTTTTTCTGCTTCTATCTCTGCTGCCAAAAGCTCTTTTTACCAATCCAGAATCGAATCTTCATTCTGCCCTTACTTTCCTCTTTCACCCCCATCTCCTAACCAAATTCTTACCCTTGTAATCTCTGCCCGTCCGACCA